GGGACACAGAATGGTTTGTGTTGGAAGGAACCTTGAAGACCATCTCATTCCAACCCCATGCCACGGGCAGGGGACACATTTCACTATCCCAGGTTGCTCAGAGCCGTGGGCAGGGAGGCCACATCCAAAATGATCTTGAAAATTAACCATTATTAGGTCAAATCTGTGAAGATGGGAGACAAGAAAAGTGACAAACTGAGCCAAAATTATCAGCAGGTGACAAGAGCCCAATCCTGATATTAAAATCCATTTATCCAATGTTTAAAATAACCCCCACTGCGTTATAGTTTTAATATTATCAGCAATATACTGGCAAGAGGGTACTTTGTTCTCCTCTGTGCCATGAACAAAACGTTCCTTGATATCCCAGGCAACCACAATCCATCCTCTTCTCCACCCACAGCAGCCACCACCAGGAGGGAGAGGCCCAGAATTCCCATCTCCAGCAAAAAAAGAAAAACCAAACCATTTAAAACTTCCCCTCACGGGCAAGGCCGGAGCCTCAGCTTGGAATGAAACACCAGAGAGGGGGAAAAAAATAATGGGCTGGATTGTCTATTTTTGCTGCTGATAAAAACGATATTCACTATGACATCACCTGAATAATTAAGTTCTTACAACCACCAAGGCGGGTTTAATCTTTTTAAAGCAAAGATCAGAAGGAAAATAGAGAAGATTTGGAGATAAGCTCAGTAGCTGCTTCAAAGAACTCGGTTAAAATTACTTTTGAAAAGGAGTTGGGTTGTGCTCATTGTTCCTGCAGGAAAAAGTCTTCTCCAGCAGTAGCTGGAGCATGTTTATAAAGCTCTTAGCAAAGCAAAACTATCTGTCCACGGGATTCCCAAATTCCAGGGCTTATTTATGACTTTTCCTGAAAAATCAGCAAAAAAGCCTCTTCCCGAATTTTCTTTCTGGAATGATTAAGAAAGATTCACACCAAGGCTGCTCAGGATCTACAAAGTGAGTTTAAAAAGTGTTGAAGGCTTTATTCTGATTTTTGAAGGGGACTGATTGCAAAAAAACCCCACATGTCTCCTGCCCCTTCCTCCCAAAAAAATGTCCCCAAAACTTTGTGGCAAAAATCCTAAACTAAAAATACCAAACAAGAGCAAATGTGACCTCTTAAAACAGATAATTAATTAAGTACAAATCATGCCCCATCCCTGGAAGTGTTCCAAGGCTGTGTTGGATGGGGCTTGGAGAAACCTAGGATAGTGGAGGCACCTGACATGGAATAAACGATGGATATTCAGCACCCAGCACAAAACTGAGCTCCTAATGGGAAATAAAAGAGGATTTCTGATATAAAAATCAGAGTTTGAATTTGTCAGGTCTTCCCCATCAACAGTAAATCCACATCTGCTTCCATTCCTCTAAATAACACGAAAAACACAAACAGGGGCACCACCTTTGCTCCCAGCAAGGCACCACTGAGGCCTTTTAGTCCAGGAGCAGGGAAATGATGGATATCAGATCCCAAGCAAAGATAATTAATTCCACTCCTCAAGGACTCCCACTAGGGCAGCAAAAGCCTTTGAAATAGTTTCTTTTTCTTTTTGTTTTTTTTATCTCTTCGGTATCTATATTGGGAATCTCTCCCATCAACCCAGTGCCAACCTGGCCCTGGAGCATTCATGGAAACTGGGAAGAGTCCATTTACATTTGGATTTGAGAGAAATTAATCTTAACTCAGAACTTGCAGGAAATCATATTTTTTTGGACCATTTCATCTCCTACTTTTCGTAAGAGAAATGTACTTTACAACCAGCTCTGGGGACAGGCTTTTGTGAGCATCTGTTTCACTTTTTAGCCAAATCCATCCCAGTTTTGAGACCTGTTTTCACAGACTGGGGGCAGGTCACCATGTTTATGTTAAAGGCAAAGTTTAGTTGCCTTTAAAATTTCCAAGAGGAATAAAATTCTGACACTCTCCCTGTGGTTCCTGCAGGACACGGACGTGGAACAGCAGCCAAAGGCACTTCAAACTTTGCCTTTCCAATTTACCCAACTTTTCACTTTACTCCCAAAGTCAGATGGCTGATGGAAAGGGAATTACATCTTTTATGGCAACAAGAATTCAAAATTTGGCTGGACACAGTCCTGGGATGATCCTGCCACCACACTGAACAGCCATAGGAACATGTGGAATTATTTCCCCAAACACAATTAGGAGGAGGAGCAGCAAACATGGATTTTGAACCAAGAGATGACTAAATGTGATTATTTTATGATGAGATTGTGTCCACTTCCCTGCTTTTTTTTTTTCCTCCTTTCATTTCTGAAGGGAGACCACAAGAAAGATGGAGAGGGACTTTGGACAAGGGCTGGAGGGACAGGACACAGGGAATGGCTTCCCACTGCCAGAGGGCAGGGAGAGATGGGAGAGTGGGAAGGGATTCTTGGCTGGAAGGGTGGGGAGGGGCTGGGCTGGGATTCCCAGAGAAGCTGTGGCTGCCCCTGGATCCCTGGAAGTGTCCAAGTCCAGGTTGGAGCAATCTGGGATAGTGGAAGTTGTCCCTGCCCATGGAAAGGGGTGGAAAAGGATACTCTTTAGAAAACTGAGGACTGGGATGTGGTCACGGAGCTGCTACAGCTCCTACAAACCCTTCCCCCCTCTTTCCTGTTCTCTCCCAGAAACTTGGGAGTGTGGAGGACACCAAGGGCAAGCTAAGGTAACATGAGCTCCTTTTGGCCCTCCACTTACTCCTCAAAGAGCTGGAATACTGGGATATTGATTCTCTGTCTTTGTGTAAAAACAGATTTTATTTCTCATGGAAAGCAACGGACACTTCCCAGATCTGCCAAATAACCGGGAAAATGTGTATCCGGGTCAAGCCTGGAAACATCCAGGTAGCCACAAACCAAGGTGGAGGCACACAGGCATCTAGTTGTTCACTCCTTTTGGGGATTATTTATCCCTTTAGGAAGCCAGAGAAACACAAGTTTTCACTGGAACACCAGCTCCGGCTCGGGAGCATCCAGGAGAATCCAGCCCAGGATTAACCCCGGGGTCTTTCCCACACGGAGCAGTCACGCAGGAGGGAGGCAGGGCTGGAGCAGCTGTATATTCCAACCCCCTCACCCCCCTCCACCATCAGCAATTTTCCAGAATAAATTACTGTGCCATCATCTCTGGTGGCAAAGATGAAGCAACTCTTGGACGGACGGATTCACTGGTGTCGGGGAAAAAAAAAGGGCCCAATCACCACAACCCTGGGCAAGCTTTGCACATGAACCCCCAAAATCCACGTGGAGCCAACTCCAGCTCGCAATTTAGGATAGTCTTGCCTCAGGAAAGGCACTCAGAGATTTGGAGTTGAGTTAAATAACGTGAATTTCTGATAACGATATGATCTTATTCAGGAAGAGAGGGATACTCCCCACAAAGCTCCAGATTTCCCCCCAATTTAACAATGTATTTCACTGGCATGATCTAAGGAGAAAATTATTTCCCCCCCCACCCTCTCCCCCCCCAGCTTTGGAAATCTGTTTCAATTATAACTGTGGATTGTTTAATTAGGGAAGCACGTTTAGTTTGAGGGGGGAGAAAAAACAAAACCCTAAATGGACGGGTTAAAAGAAAAAAACCCTTCTAATGCTCCCCGGGGTCCCTGGGTCCTTCAACCCAATTTGATGTGAATGAAACCATTATTGTTCTTTTGACTCCTGCTGAGCCATTATCCAAGGGTTTGCCGGGGATTGGAGGAGCCCTTTCCTACAGGATTTTGTTATTCCACCGGCCAGGATTTCAGTTTGAAGCAGTTTTTGTTGGATATTTTGAGGGAGCAAAAAAACCCTCTTGGTTTTGTAGGTTCTTACAGGAATTTTAGGTTTGCCTACGGTGGGTGTTTGTTTGAAATCAACCAAGAGAAAGCCATGCAGCCCTTTTTTTCCTCTTTTTTTTTTCTTTTAAAGCAGTTTAACATATTAAAACCTGTAGCAAGGAAGACTCAATCAAACCCATGAAACTGCACATTCCCCCCCCACCAGAGATTTCCTGCCATAAAAATGCTCCAACGTTGGATGGAAGAGTCCCACCCTAATAAAAGCCAACAGGGAAAACAACAGAAAGGGTTAAAAGGTAATAAAAGGATTATTATCATGCCTAAGTCAAACCTTTAAGTGATATTTTATTGCATTAAAATGTGAGCTTTGATGATTCAGCTGGTGTTCTAACTGCTTCAGAGCCAAAATCCTAATTTTTAGTATCCCTGTAGGTGCAGATATTTGCTGTAAAACCTCCTGGAAAGAGAGTTCCTTTCAAACGAGTTACAGAAAATATCTATGCAATCATTCCAAAAACAATTTCCCACTTTGGCTCTAAAGTAGGTTTCAAGAAATTTAATACCTAAAATACTTTCATTTCAGAATAAAACTGAATAAACCAGGGGACAGTTTGATCTTAGAGGCTGCTGTTCCTGTGATAACTGAATTAAACTGAGCAGGTAAGTGGAAAAAAAAAAAAAAGAAACCTGATGAGCTGTGAGCTCTGGTTTTCTTCAGGAGATACTTGAAGTAAGATTTCATACAGATGTTTTTCTGGCACACAAAATAAGCACAAAACCTCGAGGCAAGTCAGAGCACCAAAACTGCTGCAGAGAAATGACAAGAACCAGAAAAAACGAGTGTTCGAGCTGACGACACCTCAGTTTAAAAGCCAAAATCCCACCTGAGCAACACTCCTCTAACGACCACAAATAAACTCCTTAAAGTCCTGGTGGTGAAGTTGTTTTAAAATAACAACTTTATACCCCTGATAGGTCGCACGCAGCCCTGAAATTCCGCAAAAAAAAGCCACGGAGCAGCGGATTTTCCAACAGCATCAAGTCTTCCAGAAGGCCTAATGGCTTATCCAAATGATTCGAGGATGGCAAGAACATCCTCATTCGAGGATGACTAAAAGTCAAGGATGGCAAAGTTCTTGCCATCCCCGAATCATTTGGACAAGTAATCCTTACCACACTGCATCATCCACGGCCATGTCACAGCGGGCTCCTCACCTGGTAGGGACACGGGATGTGGTATTCCCGGCAGCGCTCCTGGATCCACGTGGTCTCCCAGACGCCGCGATAGGCCTGCTCGTAGAAATAGCAGCCGATGACGACCAGCAGCGGCACGAGGTACAGGACGCTGAACACGCCGATGCGGATCATGAACTTCACCAGCTTGTCCTGGTTCTCCTTTTCCAGCGGGATTTCGATGCGGACCCGGTTGAGGGAGATAATCCCGGCCAGGAGGAGGGAGACTCCCACGACGACGTAGAGGCAGAGAGGGGCGAGGACGAAGTATCTCAGCGCGTCCACGTCGTAGAGGCCGACGAAGCACACGCCGCTGATGTTGTCGCCCTCGATCTTGTTCATGGCCAAGAGGATGATGGTGAGAGTGCCCGGGATCCCCCAGGCGCTGGCGTGGAAAAGCAAGGCCTTCTTCTCGATGGCCTCGCTGCCCCACTTGGGCACGGCGGCCAGGAACCAGGTGATGGTGAGGATGACCCACCACACGCTGCCGGCCATGGTGAAGAAGTAGAGCACCATGAAGAGCATGGTGCAGGCCTTGTTGTGGGAGCCCTGGGTCACCGTGGCCGCCTTGTACTGGGCGGGGCTGGAGGCGTTGCACGCCACGCGGTCCTCCAGCAGGAAGCCGATGAAGAAGATCAGCGACACCATCATGTAGCAGACAGCGTAGAATATGATGGGCCGCTCCGGGTAGCGGAACCGCGTGACGTCGATCAGGAAGGTCAGGAAGGTGAACAAGGTGGCGGAGAGGCAGACGATGGAGATGACGCCGATGAAGTAGCGGGCGAAGGAGAGCTCCTCGCGGCGGAAGTACATGTTGGGGCAGGGAGGGGAGCAGTCGCGCACCCTCAGGAAGGAGTAGCCCAGGTCGGGGTCTATTTTCAGCTCCCGAGGGCACCAAAAGCCATAATCCCTCTGGACTGCCACTGGGGCCTCTTCCGTGGGCTCCCCGGCCGAGCTGAGGTCAACGAGGCGAGGGTACGGCTCATCGCAGTCCGGGAACCTGAACAGTGGGAAGAGGAGGGTTTACGAGGAATATCCACGTACTTTGCAAAGATCAGTAACCTCATCTATAGGGGTGACTTCAGGCACAGCAACCTTATTTCTAGGGGTGACTTCAGGCACCCCAACTGGAGCGAGAACAGACAATCCAAGCTAGGGTTAGTCCATGAAATACTGCACTATTTATACCCAAGCTCCAGAGCTCCTTGTCCCAGAGTGCAGTGGATGTTGAAACCACATAACAGGTTTAAAAATTAAATAGAGAAATAAATGGACAAGGAGCCCACTGGGGCTTTAGGGATAAAGGGGAGGGTATAAAATCCATCTCGGGAGGTCTGTAAACTAAGGCTCACTGTAAACTGAGACCATGTACCCATGGAAGCAGGGTTTTATAGAGCATTTTAAAGCCTTTCCTAAGCAACTTCACTTGCTGGTCTCAGGACAGTGAGATGCTTACACCAAAAGTCCAACCCAGCATTCACAAATCAAAATTATGATGAAGATATTTGTTGATTAAAGCTCTGACTGGGGGCTAAGGACTGCTGGAGGAACAGTCTTGAAGGAGAGACTGGAGGGATTCCACACATTACAAGCATCCTCTGACTTATTTTGCTAAAATAATTCTTCATTGTTTTTCCTTCTCTCCAATCCAACTGTAAAAGAAACTGTTTCTTCCTGTTTGTGGTTCTGCATTTTGACTGTTGGAGTCACTTATAAAAAAAAAAATAAAGCAGAAGATATTGTTCTTAATTTCATGCACACTCTGTTTCAAATAGTTTGGAAAATCATCAAGTGCTTTTTCTGTAAGTTATTTGTGTAATGTAAAGCTGAAAGCTGCTGTTCACACACGAGCTCGACAAGAGGTAGACGCTCTGAAAACAAGAGCTTTGAGATTTTATACCCCTCAAAACCAGCCAGTTTTCAACTCTCAGGCAGGTGATGGAAATAGGAACTCAGTTCCCACCTCAGGAAACAGGCTGGGAAGCAGAACGGAAAACATGGGCACTCGCGGTGGAAAACACGCAGAACATCTGTTTGAGACCATAAAACGCCCGAGACGGTGCCAAAATTTTACCTTGGGAAAAAAAAAACAAACCACCCGGATCTTCTCACCTGGTGCACTCCATGTCCTCGGGCCAGGCCACCCCGAACATCTCCATGAGCTTGGAGCACTCGCTGTAGGCCCTCTGGCAGAGCCGGCGGCAGGGCAGGGTCACCCGCCCGTATTCCATGCACACCGGGGCATACAGGGCACACAGGAAGGGCCGGAAATCCCGGGAGCATTCCAAATTCACCATCGGGTGGAAGGGCTGGGGAAGGGAAAAAAAAAAAAAGCGGGATTCAACAGCTGCAACCAGCACATCTGCAGGGGGGTTTCACGGGAAGCTTTGCTTTGTTTCGTCACAACCGTAACAGGACCTCGTTTCTCTGTTGGAATGATCAGGTATGGGTGATCAAGAAGCCTGGGGACAAGGACAGCGATTCAGAAGGGACATTTATGTCCTTGATTTGCATTAAAAGCAGAGGGAATTAAGCAGCTAAACCCCCCAGAGGGGAATTTCAGTTCTACCATCAGAGCGCATCCGTAGAAGGAAAACACTCCCAACCTGCCCGCTACCATTGTCATATAAACTCTCATCAACTTCCCAGCTTCCAGAAAAGGGCTGTAACCATGTAACCACAGAGGAGGCACAGTAAATATGTCATTTCTTCACTAACCATCAGAAAAAGGCACCGTGAAATCAAAGCCTGAAAAATAAAAAAAATGAGTCAGGAAAAAAATGACTGGTGTCTTGCGCTCCCGTGGCGCTTTATAACGGGTTTGAGTATCGGCGAGAGCAACGCTCCTTGGAAACTCTGAGAGGAAATCTATCCCAGTTGGGCAAATACAGCTGGTCTTGAGCATTTCTGAAGATGAAAAAGAAGGAAAAATAAGTAGGGCAGGGATTTATGTCTGAATAAAAGCTGGAGCACGTTGATAATCCACGTTATCTTCTAACTATCCTGTGTGGGTTCATTCTGCTCTTACTCGTCTTTAAAACTCTCCAGGAGTTAATCAATATTTTATTCCAAGCCTGTGTGGCACTTACTGTTATCCAAAGCCTCACCATCTCTTTGGATATTAATATAAGATCAATTATATTCCTTTGAGAGTGGAATATTCAAGGACACAGAATACTGAGATCCATTAGGACTTACAACTCCGGAACGAAACACTATTTTGACGCCAGAGTTTCCCCTTCTCCCCAGCCAGGCAGGATTACAGAGCAAAGGGAGCCTAATCTTCAGAATTCGTGGTGCAATAGCTGAAGCACAAATGAACCTGCTGTAGATAAACATATATAAACCCTAAATCTTATTAGAACTGAAGCTGAAGAGGAGCTGCAGAAAGATTATATTTGCAAACAGCAATTTCCTGAGAAGTATTTTAAACCAGTTCAGCTTTTTTTTTTTTTTCCAAGAGTAGAGTAGAACAGACTAAATAACAAAAAATAGGTCATCTTCTGTGTCAGTATAAATGAGAAATATTAGGAATTGTATGGAAAAGTTTCATTCTCAGTTCTCCCTTATCACCTCTTTACTCTTTCGGTTCTTCCCACATGTCTCCTTTTCCCTGCAAAAGGTTAATTTTTGGAATACAAGACACAACCACGCTGTGATTTTACTGTTTTGATGTTTGTTTTTTTTTAAACATCATTATTATTTGCCAAGCTGATTAAATTCCCTTCCTTTTTCCAGTGTCCCATGACAGGAGAGCTGTGCAATTTGGCACTAACCTGCATGAAGAGCAGCAGAAACCTCCAGAGTCATTCACGAGGAAAAAGGCAGCAGCAGTTGGAAAGTATTTACATTTAAAAGCTCGTGTGACTGGAGAGCATCTTTCTGTTTGGCTGGACAGGTACTTCAGATGCATAAATGTATTTATTTTTGAATATTTAGGACCTACAGCACAGTTAAAGGCATTGCTTGACCACATGGATCCAAGAAATTGGTTGTAGGCAGTTATGATTGCAAAAGCTGAAGGTAAGTCTTCCTTTATTTGATGCCAAGGGAAAATAAAGGAAGTGTTTAACTCTCTTTCTTTTCAAAGAACCTTGAAAGTAAGAAAATTGAGTTATATCTTTATGAAAAAGAGCCACTGGCTTCATTCCTGGCTCGAGCCCAAAATCCTGCCTCCTGCCACTGCGGTTTTCCACACCTAAATTTCAAGTTCTCCTGACAAATGCTCCCCTACTCTCCTCTGCTACATCTCCAGTTAAGGAAAGATGTTCCAGGAGTTCCTCTTTTCCTGCTATTTTGCCTTCATTAAAATTTCTGTTTGGTTTTGCATGAGTTGAAGAAGATGAACCATTTTAGGAAGAGCCCAGACTATGCCAAGGTCTGCAAACACAGCTCCAGGGCATGGATATTCCAAAGCAAAGGGAAGTAGTAAGGCCAGTTCAAGGGAACAGAAAGGTACCAGGACACCAAAACATCTGAAATAACACTGGAATAACTGGATTTTCCCAGAGGAGTCCCACAGAAGGCACAGCAGGTGCACTTTGGGTGCTGGAAAGGGTCTGGTTTTGAGCTCGGCCTTGGCACGTTCCTCAAAACACAGAACAGATTTACTCAATCCCAACAATCCCTGCCTCTTCTCCCAGGGAACAAGGGACAGGACAAGAGGAAACGGTCTCAAGCTGTGCCAGGGGAGGGTCAGGGTGGACTTCAGGTGGAATTTCTTCCTGGAAAGGGTTATTAAACATTGGAACAGGTTTCTCAGGGAGGTGGTGGAGTCCCCATCCCTGGAGAAGGTGTCCAAGGAATGACTGGATGTGTCACTCTGGGCTGGGTGACAAGGTGGGGATGGGTCACAGGTTGGACTCGATGATCCCAGAGGTCTTTTCCAACCTAAATGGTTCTGTGATTCCTGGAGAAATTCCCTTTTAAGCAGGGCTAATCTAGCAGGACCGTTCCCCAGCGCTGGCTGTTCTGGTTCTCAGCACCTCCAGGCCTCTCCCACACCACTGTGTCTCCCAAAACAGCATCTGCAGGCAGAACAAAAACTCTCTTATGAACTATAATCAAATCATTTTCAAAATCATGAGGAGGCTCAGCTGGAGAACAGGAGAAGAAAAAAAAACCTACGACAACTCCTTGTAAGGCAGGAAAAGAGACTGACCTGCTTCCAAGCAGCAACAGCAGCACTTGTGTCTTCAAGTGCCCCATCTCTAAAATTATCTCAGAATTATCTTACCCCCTTGCAGCTCTTAAGATGAAAAGTCACTTCCACCTACTGATTATGTTGTTCCCTATTAAAACTAAAGCCAGGGGCGTTAAAAGGCTCTTTTCATGCTCTTGCCCAAGGACCCAGTGCAAGTTATGACACCAAGCCCTGGTGCCTAACAAAGGGCTCTCTGTGAAACTGAGATGTGCTCTTGAAAAACGCCTGTTGAACAGCTCCAAGAGGGAAAGGGAAGAGGGCAAGGACAAGGGAAGGCGTGATTTCAGTAATTCAGGCCAAGTCTTGGGAGATCCCAGGAAGGGAAGAGATAAAATGTTTAAGAGGAGATAAACACTTGTGCACTCCTGAAGGTACTCAAGTATTTAAAACATGCCAGATCACACAGCTGTGTAACATATTCCCAGTTCTACACCCACCGGGTCCTTCCACCTCTGGGAACAACCTTTGTGACCACGCAAATTCCTTCCATCCCAGAGATAACTGTGAGCTCTTCCAGGCTGAGTCAGAGCCCTCTCTTTGCCATCCAGGTGTTGAGTATCAATAACACCCCACAGCCCTCTATCACTGCTTCCCTCAGAGCAGCACAACCTGCAGCACAACCTCTCCCAGTTCTTCTTTCCCTCTTCCCCAGAATTTTTTTTGTGATGGTGGCAAAGCTGTTTTAAGAAATTTCCCGACTCCCAGCAGTGTGGCCCCATCTCCTTCTTTCCCTGCAATTCCCATCTGCTGAAAAAAAAGGCTTAATGGCCACTCTCTAACAGAGAGCAGAAAATTCCTGCTTGCCTTATGTTTTGTTTTCAGGAGGGGATCATGGAATCACAGAATGGTTTGGGTTGGAAGGGACCTTAAAGATCATCCAATTCCACCCCCCAGCTTTCATCCCCCAAGGGATGAAAGACAAAGGATAGCCAGAATGATATGTGTCCATTTCCCCCCCCCAAAAAAAATAATTTTTGGAACAAATTCTCATTTTTGGTCACAAAGCAAAAGCAACAATTTTATCTCTTAAATACCCCCTGGACCTGCATTTAGTTTCAGACTTCTCATATTCCTGAGAGATAATAAACCATTATCTCTCAGCTAATAAACCAAACTCTTTATTTTACACAGCAGTAGCCATTTAAAACTGGCTGTTACTTGGGAAGCGACAATGCAAGACTCAAAGCAAGTTATTTTGCCGATTTTTTTTCCCTTATCTATTCCATCCTTTGAACAGAGAACTAAACAGGAAGCGTTCTCATAAACTCATAGAGGGAAGGAGGGAAGTTTTCTCCCCTCGGGCTCCTGGGAAGAGAGCGATGCTATGACTATCAATTGCTTTTGAAATTCTCTGGTGGAAGCAGCTGCCTCGGGGCATATCCAGCCACAGGAGCTGCTCTTTGTGCCCTGCCTTGCCCCGGCTTTGATTCAGCCTGCTGCTCATTAGGGAAAAAGGCTGGAATTGTATCTCAAAGGGCATGGGCACTGCTGCCTTCCAGGCTGCCTCCTCTGAGGCTGCTGCTGGGTTTAACTCTCCAGACAGCTCCTGGTTAAGCTGAGCTTGTTCAGCCTCCTGGTTTTGATGACCACGGGTCTCCCTGACTGAAGAGACCTCAGCTCTGAACAGGCCATGTCCTCTCTCCGAGCACAACTGGCTTTCTGGAGACAGTGGAAATTTGTTTTCCGGCGTCCCTGCTCCTCTAAACTTGCCAGGTTTCCCGGAGCCTGCACCCCACACTCCTGGTGCACACACTCAACCTGGAAATACTCGTTTTAGGTTAATTCCCCTCTCTGGAATAAACAGCTGAAGCCAACTTTAAACCGGGCTGGGCTTGAGGGTCCTGCCTTAACCCACCTGGGGCCTCCTGAAGGAGCTCAGGGAACGTTCTCACAGGCACAGCAGGGCTGGTGCTCGGCAAAGAGCACTGATTTTGGGGCACTTGGTCGGGAAAACAGAGCCATTCCTACTCTTCCCACTCGAGCTGGATGGTGACACTCAGTAATGGTTGCAGAAAGGGCCAGGAGCACGCTCAGGTGTGTCAGAGCGAGCCTGTTTCTTCTGGAATTAATCCATCCCTGCCCAAATTAACGTGGCTCTGGAGGTGC